GCAACCCTTTAGGGTTATTTAAAGCCGAAACATATTTTGGGTTGTAAGTATAATTCTTTTTTCTTTTTTTTACGAGTGGATCTGGAGGAAAACTGATTTTTCCAGTTTCACCGATCGCCTGGCCATCACTCTTTCCATATTTATTGAACAAGTGTAGACATGTATCCCTTGTTTTCTAATTAGGATATGGTTTGCTTCTTTTTTCTTTTATTTTCTTATTCTTTCATTGCCCTAAATATTTAACTATCTTAACTTTTTTGTGATTTGATCGAACAGTGGCTGCGACTGTTCATTGTACCAGTTTGACAGTTTTCTGGTTGCTTCATTCGACTGGTAATAAAAAGTCCGAACTGTTTGGTAGCGCTTAGAGAGGCTGCTCTGATCAACAGTTACATAATATTTGCGCATGTGTAAATGGCATGTATTTCCGGCGGGAAAACCCGAGGCCACATTATGCTATAGTCTTATCCACCTTCCTGTCAGTTTGTACTGCCATTGATGAGAAAGATTGATCATTTTAACTGCTCATAATTAAAATTCTCTATCCTTAGCAGAGTTTTTTCCTCATAATCTATATCACTTTTCTCATATCTCTTAGTAACCCTTTGCTTTATTGCCTTGCTTGGGGTGAAATGATTAAAAAAAATCTACTTTTAACACCATAGCTGGAAGGAGATTGACAAATGCCTTTACCAAGTGTATTTGCGCGTAAGTAAATGTAACATAACTCAACTGAAATTCGAACTCGGCTCTCTAGTTTCTCATTGAGTCACTATCTCTAGCGAAGACTGAGGATTATTTAACTTGCTTTTCTTTTTTCTTTTCTTTTCTTTTTAATAATTTTTTGTTCAAGCGTTTACGTTGAATGATAATTTTTTTTAATACTTTCTTTTAATATATTTGTTTATATTAATACATACTTTTAAATATCCGTTTTTAAAGCCGTAATTATTTTTCTTAATTTCAACATCAAAAGCGGAATTACAATAATCGCCCGAAATTCCGTAATGAAGTATTATTAATAAAACGTGTAAGCAAACAATACAACATGGCGTAAAAATTGAATAATGAAGAATCTCAGTGTGTAAATCTGAATGTCGTTGTTTGCTTAGTTTTTGTAGATAGATAGATACAACTTTTTTCCTTCGATTTCGTTCAAACTCGGTATGTAGGTTACTTACATCATGACGAGCTCAAGGATAACTCATATTAAATTTCAACGCCACTACGTTTAGCGAAAAACTGCGAAAAAGGAAAAATCGATTTTAACACAAATTGATTTCAACACAAATTTTAAACTAAAAATTCCCTCAATTTTCAGCAATCTAATACAAATTTCCCTCAATAAATAGATTGTTTAATAGTCATTTAACTTGATAATTGAGTCCGCCCATATAGTGAAAACGCGAGTGAATAGTGAATTTTTAATGATTTCTTTCTTATTTTTCGTTGATCTTTCAACCAGTTTTCATCAAACTTTACAATTTCTTTATAAATATATCCTTTTATTTATATCCCTGGTAGCGCACTGACAAATTGAATTTCAAAAACTCCAGAATAATTGTGGTCTGAAATTGGTCTTCATGTTGACTGTTTTTCCCCTTCATGTCCTCGGCTAACTTCGATTGAATAAATACAGAGTACTTCTGTTATATCAGTAACTACATTAATTCAATTTTTTTTTTTTTTAATGATGGTATTTTAAAGTAATTGAAGATGGACTCTGTTACATCTAAAGATGATGCTGTTTTTGCTCCATTCTAATTGAACGTTGAACGCTTTTTTCTGATCGACCAACTGCGTATGGATGGTAGTGTACGATAATTAAAGACATCCTCAACAGAAAAAGTAATATCCTACAGAAGGAAGTGAAGTAAAGCAAGAAGAAAAGACAAATCATCAATTACAAGAAGACCGAATGCATGGTCGTTTGCAAAACGAAAAGACCAACATGCAAATCACAAATGGAAGATATCAAAATCAAACAAGTACAATAATTCAATTATTTTGGGAGGTGTTTTAACAGAGGACGAAAAATGTGACACAGAAATCAGAAGGAGCATTGAAATAGCGAAAGATAGCTTCCAAAAGCTAAACAAAGTACAGGCTACAGCAGAAACACCTCTCAAATATACCTTCCAAACATACTCCCCATGTAATTGTGTCTTCATTAGTGGCAATGGTGCCTTCATCTAGCTAATATCTTACCATTTTGTATATATGGAAGAAGGGGCATGCATATCTGAGATGTATTTCAACCGCACCCTTTATTAACAAAGAGAAAAATTTCGTTAGGAACTAAGAAAAGTGTACTGAACTGTTGTGTAATATCAGTCTTCCTATATAGCAGTGAATGTTGGACAACCTGACAGGTGAAAAGCAGAAATATGTTTCTATAGAAATATGCTGAGGATACCATGGACCAAACATGTGTGTAACGGCGAGGATTTAGAGAAAATGGAAAGAAAAAGGAAACTTATACTTAACATCAGGAAGAGACAGTTGAAACTTTTACAGAAGGATGCTGAGGATACCATGGATCGAACATGTGAGCAACGACGAGGTTTTAGAGAAAATGGAAACAAAAAGGAAACTTATACTTAACATCAGGAAGAGACAATTGAAATTTCTACAGAAGGATGCTGAGGATACCATGGACCGAATATGTGAGTAACGACGAGGTTTTAGATAAAATGGAGACAAAAAGGAAACTTATACTTAACATCAGGAAGAGAGAGTTGAAACTTCTACAGAAGGATGCTGAGGATACCATGGTCCGAACATGTGAGCAACGACGAAGTTTTAAAGAAAATGGAAACAAAAAGGAAACTTATACTTAACATCAGGAAGAGACAGTTGAAACTTCTACAGAAGGATGCTGAGGATACCATGGACCGAATATGTGAGTAACGACGAGGTTTTAGAGAAAATGGAGACAAAAAGGAAACTTATACTTAACATCAGGAAGAGACAGTTGAAATTTCTACAGAAGGATGCTGAGGATACCATGGTCCGAACATGTGAGCAACGATGAAGTTTTAAAGAAAATGGAAACAAAAAGGAAACTTATACTTAACATCAGGAAGAGACAGTTGAAACTTCTACAGAAGGATGCTGAGGATACCATGAACCGAATATGTGAGCAATGACGAAGTTTTAAAGAAAATGGAAACAAAAAGGAAACTTATACTTAACATCAGGAAGAGACAGTTGAAACTTCTACAGAAGGATGCTGAGGATACCGTGGACCGAATATGTGAGCAATGACGAAGGAAAATGGAAACAAAAAGGAAACTTATACTTAACATCATGGAAGGATGCCGAATACCATGGACCGAATATGAGCAATGACGAAGTTTTAAAGAAAATGGAAACAAAAAGGAAACTTATACTTAACATCAGGAAGAGACAGTTGAAACTTCTACAGAAGGATGCTGAGGATACCATGGTCCGAACATGTGAGCAACGACGAAGTTTTAAAGAAAATGGAAACAAAAAGGAAACTTATACTTAACATCAGGAAGAGACAGTTGAAACTTCTACAGAAGGATGCTGAGGATACCATGGACCGAATATGTGAGTAACGACGAGGTTTTAGAGAAAATGGAGACAAAAAGGAAACTTATACTTAACATCAGGAAGAGACAGTTGAAATTTCTACAGAAGGATGCTGAGGATACCATGGTCCGAACATGTGAGCAACGATGAAGTTTTTAAAGAAAATGGAAACAAAAAGGAAACTTATACTTAACATCAGGAAGAGACAGTTGAAACTTCTACAGAAGGATGCTGAGGATACCGTGGACCGAATATGTGAGCAATGACGAGGTTTTAGAGAAAATGGAAACAAAAAGGAAACTTATACTTAACATCAGGAAGAGACAGTTGAAATTTCTACAGAAGGATGCTGAGGATACCGTGGACCGAATATGTGAGCAATGACGAGGTTTTAGAGAAAATGGAAACAAAAAGGAAACTTATACTTAACATCAGGAAGAGACAGTTGAAATTTCTACAGAAGGATGCTGAGGATACCATGGACCGAATATGTGAGCAACGACGAAGTTTTATAGAAAATGGAAACAAAAAGGAAACTTATACTTAACATCAGGAAGAGACAGTTGAAACTTCTACAGAAGGATGCTGAGGATACCATGGTCCGAACATGTGAGCAACGACGAAGTTTTAAAGAAAATGGAAACAAAAAGGAAACTTATACTTAACATCAGGAAGAGACAGTTGAAACTTCTACAGAAGGATGCTGAGGATACCATGGTCCGAACCTGTGAGTAACGACGAGGTTTTAGAGAAAATAGAAACAAAAAGGAAACATATACTTAACACCAGGAAAAGACATTTGAACTTTCTAGGGAACATAATGAGGAAAGAGGGCTCGGAAAATTGGATACTCACAGTACAGTTTGAAGGCAAGAAAAATAAAGGAAATCCACGCCTCGAGCGAGCTTGTGTAAATGCATATCAGGATAAGGTTTAGGTGAGATAACAGTGAATATTTATAGAGTGCTACAAAGGATACACAAATTTGGAGATCCAAGAGGGGAATGAACACGGCTCATAGGAAAATCAAATATTTTTTTATTGTAACAAATGCGTTGTCCTGGATTCGATCTCGCGCCAACAATTCCATTTCGGAGTAATAAGCATTACGCCATATCGTACCACCATAAGCGACATGAATGATTTATTTGAAAGCCAATGACGTTATTTGTTGAGTCAAACGCCAACTCCGGACCAAAAACCCCATTCGAGATGGGCGTCAGTCTACAGACATAAACACCGGAAGTCATTGTTAGATAGAGTTTGTTTTCCTTACCTTGGGGTGCCGACTGTCACGGTAGGTCGACAAGGCATGTTATCGGAGTGGCGGGTCTCACGTTGAAAAGGCTGCCGATAACTCGAGATGATTTGACACCATTTACCTCCCTTGTGAATCTTTGACAGTTGGTTGGCACGAGATACGGCGTCACCTTTCGGGTTATATGTACCCACTGCTTGCCGACACCACCCTTCCGTTCATTCCTCATCAAATTACACAGGACACTTCTACGCTGGTGAGGGTGTCCTGATTGCAATGCTGAGTTGGTAGGTCTTATCGGGATTTTATATGACAAGTTAAGTCTGGCTCAAGGACACAGACGTAGTGTATCGGGTGATTACCTGTTCATTTCAGTTTTATCTGTATGGGTCAGTCTAGATTGCTAAAAATTCGAAGGAGAAGATTTTTTTTTTAAATCAATTCACTCCAAGGAAGGTGATAATGCAAGGGGTTTCTGGAAATTAAAAAAGACTGAGGAAACCTTTTTTGAGTAGAGCGGTAAATAAAAGAATAGTTTACAAAATAACAGTAGACGACAATTCATGTTGCATTTAATTTCTTTTTTAATCGTTATTTCTTGGAAAGCATTGAAATCGGGAGAGATTTCCACAAGCAAGAAGTGCAAGAGAAAACAATGCGAATAAAGCTTAACGTTGCTTTTAGCAATTTCAGTTTTTATAATGATACCTAACTGCTAATCTAGTACTAACCTTCAACTTGAGAATTCGAAATACCAAATTCAAAAAGCTCAATCAGAACAATTACCATGAAAATATTTCAAGAAAATGCATAAGAAAGCAACGTTACGGCTGTATGAAATTAATTCAAGCCGCGATGTCAGGACAAGACGAATAATATTACAGACTCTTCTTTGGATTTTAGTAAGAACTAGCAGTAGAGCCCGGCGTTGCCCGGGGATGTAACAGTAAGAGATAGATCAAGTATCGACCATCATAAAGACTGAAAAGTAAAATTGACAAAGATTATTGTTTAAGGTTGACGGACACGCATGTCTTAATTAGTTTTTTTTTTTTGTTTTTTTTTTTTTTTTTTTTTTTTATGAATTGGTCAAACCCAAACTCAAACAAAAACATTGTTTTCAATCGTTATGAGTCTACCGATTGAATAGAATTTTATTATAAACAATTGTCTTGTAAATGGAATTTTTAAAGCATTCTGAATGTAAAAATAAAGAAAAAACTGTACAAGACAATAAGAAACACTACCTGCCAAAAAAAAGTGAAGTCTTGTTGAAATCATTTGAAAAATGTAGGAAATCCGATCCCATATATAAACGAACACACACACACACACAAACAACCTGGGTTTTATAATAAGTATAACTCGATATGAGTTGTCCCCCTTTCATTCTCACGATGCCTCTTAATCATGTTTTCAAATTGATTTCATGCAAAAACAATTGTGTTTTTCCAATTTCTGGTGCTGTCTAAACCACCGCAAGGTAATTTTACGTAGTCCTGTGAAGTTTTGTTGAAATCGGTTGAAAAATGTAGGAAATCCGATCCAATATATAAACGTACAGACACACACACACACACACAACCTGGGTTTTATAATAAGTATGATCTTCAGATACATAGCAGACGCTCTAAATCAGATGTGACAGCAATATTCAATGCTTGGACGAATGGTTGATTTTTTAAATTTTTTAGATAGATTCTAGCGAGCTGCCTGGACCAGTGGTGCCCAAAATGTTTATCTGGGCCGGAATGAAAATTTGCTCGCGCCTCACCAAAAGGATATCCCGGTGAAAAGGCACAAGCAGCCCTACGGCAAAGAAGGTCCAGAAAGAGAGTTAAAGGGAGATAACCGGGGATTCAAAGTCAGAACATTATCATTGTTAACTCTCTCCTCCAATTTACAAACCCTAGTTACTAAATTCTTAATACTTGATATGATGCAAAAATATTACAGTGACAAAATAGGTCAATAATAATTTATAACTATTTATACTGGGACATGCATTTAATTAGAGTCAGTAAGTTACGTGCCACACGCTTAGGCGATCATGTATCTTTCGATACATGACTCACGAGGCAGATTATTGGGACAGTAGGTTGTCATTTCTTTCTGTGGTAGACCAACTGCCATCCAAGGCTATAGAACCAGGTCTGTCTTAAAATTTACTCATAGCTGGTGGGAGAAAAGATGATTCATACTTTTTCCAAGGGTATTAGTGCGTAAGTGAATGTAATGGATTCGACTGGAAAGTCAGACAGTTATGTCCCATACATGATACACACTTAGGCGATCATGTATCTTTCGATACATGACTGACGAGGCAGATTTTTTCCGTAGTAGGTTGCCATTTCTTATTGCGGTAGACCAACTGCCATCCAAGGCTATAGAACCCGGTCTGTCCTGCTATTTTCCATAGCTGGAGGGAGAAGAAGAGGATTCCTACCTTTCCCAAGAGTATTAGCACGTAAATGAATGTAATGGATCCAACTGGAATTCGAACTCAGCTCTCTGATTCCTCAATTCATTACTCCAGCGTGTCTCCACCATGCAATTACAAGTAATCCATAATAATATTTTAAATTTTGAAATCATATTTATTTTTGGCATATGAATTTTTTGAAATTTTTTCTAAATCTTTGATTGTCTTTCAATCATTCCGACTCACTTGCTATCCTCTTCCGCCGACCTTATGAGGCTCGCTGTATCGTTTGGGAAACACTGGTCTAGAATGACAAAGTGGCCAAAAATCTCCTAGCATTATATCTAGTAATTAATTCAATATAATCATTCCACTTTTTGTCAAAGGAAAACTTTAGCCCGGGAAGGTGCAATGAATCATTTTCCTGAAGGTTAGCATCAGTCCTGCTCTTAAATAACCTGGTCAGATCTAGAGTGTTATATAGATGTCCTCCGACTCGTTCAGATCTTCACGGCTAACTCCACCACCGCCACCAGGGGAGGGGGAGAAAAGGGAAAAAGGAGAGAAAGAATAGCAATCTCGATGATTAGATGCGAGCTTTTAAGGTCAATAATAAAAAAAATGGCTTTAGGCAAATGAATCCTGCAAGTTGAAAACACTTCTTATAAAATGGCGCAACAAGATCATGACTAAAGAACTAAAAAATAAGAACAAAAAATATCAACACAAAACGCATCACTGGAACATTTCCAACAGCAAAACAAAAAAATAGCACGCGTAATTATAATGGAGAATAAGTGTTTTTTTACGGATGGTTCAAAGAGCCACTAAAGGTAGAGGTTTAATTGTTGAGATTGTAAGAGATTATTATAATGACGAGTATGATAGATATTGGTTTATCCTGGACATTAAGAGACTTCAACATTGTTGTTGATAGGAAAGAATTCTGTCTGGAGTTTGTTCAACAAATGAGAGATCTGAAGAAGAAGCTGTCCTTTTGCAATGTCACCAATATATACGTACCAATTTGAGGCCTTCATCCAGGTAAAACTAAAGTAAGCTAATCACACTTAGCGCACATTTATTCCCACTTCACCTTCCATACTTAGCATTGCACCATAACAGGTGTTGCATCTATTCATCTATCTATCTATCTATCTATCTATCTATCTATTCATATCTATCTATCTATCTCAGCCTGCACTAATTCATCTATCTATCATCTATCTATCTATCTATCTATCTATCTATCTATCTCAGCCTGCACTAATCTATCTATCTATCTATCTATTCATTCATTCATTCATCTATCTATCTATCTCAGCCTGCACTAATCTATCATTTATCTATTCATTCATCTATCTATCTATCTTCATCTATCTATCTCATCCTGTTCTATCTATCTATCTATCTATCTATTCATCTATCTATCTATTCATCTATCTATCTATCTATCTATCTATCTATCTATCTCAGCCTGTTCTAATCTATCTATCTATCTATATATCTATCTATCTATCTATGCGTTCGTATATATATATATATATATATATATATATATATATATATATATATATATCACATTGAATGAAAATTCTGTCCGATTTTATCGTGTATATGACAAATGAAGATGCACCCTGGGTATGACGATAAACTGCAACCAACAGCAAGGCCTCTAATCGGAAGTTTTTGAGGAGCGTAAAGCCACCTCTTAATTGCTGTTGTTCCTAGCTTCACCCTGACCCGGATGGTAGCATCTATTCGGGTCCCAGCTATGGGCAAACAATTAATCCCCCAAACTGGGATCAAAACACGATAAAAGTATAAAATATAATTTTATAGTAAAAATAAGAGCAATACATTTTCAAAGAAAAAATACCAGTAATGCTTTTTTGTAAATGGAATTTCTAATGCTCCTAAGAACACATGAAGATACTAATGCTTATAGAAATATTTAAACATTAATATAACCTCCCTTGCTTCTTAGAAACTCATTTCATCTTTTTTAACCGCTTAACCTCCAACAAGGCAATAAAGCCACTAAGAAGCAAGAAGTGTTAGAAAATATGAAGAAATAATACTATTAAGAACAGAAGACAAAAAAAGAATAACAATTAAGAAGACAGGATATAACGTTTGACATTGCATATAAATTGTGGAAGATCAAAATTGACTGGGAAGCAAGAAGCCGGTAGAGAGTTCTACTAGTGAGAAATGTGATAGAAGGAAATCTTAGCATAGAACTTACGGTTACATCTAGCCATTTCAACTGTAAAATGATGAGACTTGTCGCCAATCTAGTACTGCGCTTAAATCCATAAAGTCTAGGTATCATAAAGAATGTAATATTTATTTTGCTTAATACGAAAATATGATACAATGCCAAAAGGTTGATAGGGGATGGTTGGTCTTCAGCCTGTCTTATCTTAAACTTATCTAGCCATGATTACTTACCCAAACATACTACAATATTGCTTACACCAAAACAACGCATTATTACTTACCATTCTTTCTACAGTCACCATAATACCTCAAAGTCTCTATGTAGTTCTAATAGGTTTTCATATGTACAATTTGTCTGAGTGGTGGGATAAAGAAATAACTTTTAAAAAAAGAAACTTCAATGAATATTTACAAATAATTACCATAAAGAAAGTTCATCGGTACAATTACCATGAAAGTATTTATACAAAAGACAATAGACAGAGGGGGGGGGCTACATTATAGCGACAGGAAATGGAGTGAAGCCGAGATGTCAGGTTAGAACATTGCAGATTCTTCTTTGGATTTTATCAAAAATCTCTAAATATAAAGCAAGAACACCCGAGCAGATGTGGAAGAAATCTTCAAAGCCAAGGCAAATGGTTGACTTATAAAGGTGTAAGATTCTGGAGAGACAAATTGTCTAGCATGAAATACAGAACCAAATTTCTTAGCTGCAGACATAGCAATTAATTCAGGGTATTCTTTCTACTTCATATCAGCTGAAAACGTTACTCTGAGAAGACGCAATGAGTCACTTAACTAGACGTTAGCCAATTATCTTCATGCGTTTTAAGGGTTGAAATTTCCGTGGATTATGGATATTTTTTTCAGAATGTGGACCTTAAGACATTCCACTCCCGACTCCGGTGGTAGAACTTGTCGGGCTTAGCCTGAGTGTGTCAACATTCAAGTATAAAAAAAAAAAAAAAAATCGTGGTGCGTTGTTTTCATTCTTGACTTCAGCTGGATACAAAATTGTTTTAACTCCATGCCTCAAAATATTGACCGAAATACATTTTGTTGATGTTGTTCATATTAAACAAGAAATAAAGATGAAAGAATGAAAAAAAGAAACGAAGTAAAAAAAATGTAATAAAATAAACGTGCCCAGTTGGGCTGTGTAAGTTTTAGCCCGATCTTAGCTAGAGGCATACTTATTAGTCAATATATTTCTTGCTTTAATTTTATAAATAATCTTTTTAAAATCTCTAATGCCTTCTATGCCATGTATTTTTATATTAACTTTTTGTTTTCAAATATCAATTAATTTCTTCCGTACGGTTTTTTAGTGGAATGTATCTTTTGAAAATGAGCAAATTTAATTTAACCCGACCTAAAAATCGGTCGTCGTCTGGAGGGTTGATGTGAGTATGACTGGGGTGAGAGTTGAAGAAATATATCAGTCAGCAGTACATAAACGCACAGGCAGAAATATATATAAACACACTAGCGCATAGACATATATACAAACACACACTCGAGATAGATATACGTTATTTAAAAAGATATATTGTCTTGATTCTTTTTCTTACATATCTGGAAATCCTTAAATGTTTATTTTTATAGAATTATTACATTTGATATTAAAATACCAAAATGTGTGTGTGTGTGTGTTTTTTTTTAATTTCATGCATAGATTCTTCAGGTGGCTTGAATGTCGAACTGAACCCTTTATTTCGCTCACTAGGTTAGACTGTTCTAGTTCCACGTGCCATGTTTTATGAATGTCAGTTATCAGTTATCTCCTGTTAATTCCCCTCTCCAAGTTCTCCACTGCCTTAACCGGGTATTGAACTCATACTTTTTGGGTCCTGTCACTGGATCTAACTAACGCCTTTATCCACTGTTCCATGTGTTCAGTTCGACATTCCAACCACCGGAAAAAGGCTGGAGCCTACAAAGGCCGAAACGTCGTAATAAATATGGCGACAAAGATGAGGACAATAGTCCGAATAATGTAAATAGTGTACATAATACCTCATCTCAGAAATATAGACAGATACTGAAAGGCCGAAACGTTGTAATAAATATGGCGACAAAGATGAGGACAATAGTTCGAATAATGTAAATAGTGTACATAATACCTCATCTCATACATATAGACAGGTACTGAAAGGCCAAAACGTTGTAATAAATATGGCAACAAAGATGAAGACAATGGTCCGAATAATGTAAATAGTGTACATAATACCTCATCTCAGAAATATAGACAGATACTGAAAGGCCGAAACGTTGTAATAAATATGGCGACAAAGATGAGGACAATAGTCCGAATAATGTAAATAGTGTACATAATACCTCATCTGATGTCAATAGTGTAAAATTTTCATTGTTGGTAATATTTTTTCTCAAAAGTCTATTTCTGGCAATATTTTTTCCTTCAAAAAATCTATTTCTGGTAATATTTTTTCTTCAATAACTCTATTTCTGGTAAGAATTTTCCTTCTCTGGTAATATTTGTTTTTCAAAAATATATTCCTGGTTATATTTTTTTACAAAGTATTTCTGGAGTTAAAACCTATTTTTGCACATTCATAGTGTTTTGACTCCAATTTGGGTGTTAACTATTTGCCCATAGCTGGGCCCCTAGCAGGTGCTACCACCGCGAGTCAGAGTGGATCTGGGAACACCAACAATTAAAAGGTGGTTCCACCTTCCTCAAAACTTCCTGACCGGATAGGCCTTGCTGCTGGACGTAGTTTATCGTCTTACCCAGGACGGTGTAGAGACGGAAAGGCGTAAAATGTGAATAGAAAGAGTAAAAGAAAGGCAAAAGAGAGGATTCGGTATAAAATACATGTTCATTTCTGATTCTTTGTAACTATATAGCAGTGATCCATGTTTGTGTAACATTTAAATAAACTCATGGATAGGTCACGAAGATGGTAAAGGATAAGGAATAAACGAGAAGATACAGGCAACGAGAGAAAAAGTCACGATATAATGAATAATCATTTACACTATTTACATTGTTGCCCTCAACTTTTTTTGCCATATTCACGACGTTTGGGTCGTTGTACACTTCAACCTTCTTCAGATGGAATACGTTAAAATTTCGAACCGAACCTTTCATAGCCCAGTAGATAAAAGCGTCGATCGAGTAATCCAAAAAGGAAATCGGCCCAAAGAGTTGTGAGTTCAATACCTGGTCGCAGCAGATGGAACAAACTTTGGAGGCTGATACTAAGATTTCACGGGGAATTAGAACTATCTACCCCAGTGGACTAAATAAAGGGTTCGTTTCGAAATTCCAAACGTATATCAGAAGGTGTGTGTACAGCAGCCTAAGCGTCGTAAATATGGTAATAAAGATGAGGACAGCAGTTCGAACGGTGTAAATAGTGTAAATATATAGAGAGAATGAATAATCATATTTGTCAAAAATCGTGGAAATTTCAGTGATCCACCTCGTGTAAATATAATGTTTGATAACAATGTCCACGGTCCAGCAATCTTCATCGATTGAAACTGATTAGATAGGTGATCAGACAGGTGATCGCTGGTCAATACAAGTAGTTTTATACTTGGATGTTCGGATGGTCTGATGAATAACGGCTTGGAATTGGAAATAGCGAAGCCGAGTTCCAATTCAAATTTACATCATTTGAAGATTTCCAAAAGCGTCAACAACTAAAATGGATAACATATGTAATTCGAAGAGAAAATAATAAAATCATCACCATGATATTCTAGACTTTATACAAAAGGTAACAACTACTGGTCTTGAAAAACCTATTTTCCAATTTGTTTAAAAAAAAAATCAACTGACAGTAACAATGGCTGTTTGATCAATATTACCGAATATTTCCTTATAAGGAAACGGCTAATTTTAAAATTACTATTATGTTACCAGTTTGCTAACACCTAAACACAAGGTTATGTGATATTACTGTCGAAAAGACAGTATAAATGATTTTATTGTCAGATAAATAATGACTTCATAATTTCAACCTTTTTAGGCTTAAATCCTGATTTATATGTTCATTTCTCGTTTCTGTACATTTTTTTCAAAAATTAACAAAATTTTTCGATATTTGCGTTTATTTATGTACTATTTCGTAATTTCTTATCCTTTCTAGTGTTTCTGTTTAACTATCAATTTATATATATATATATATATATATATATATATATATATATATATATATATATATATATATAAAACATTTAAAACACGTAATATACCGGGTGTAACAGCAAAATTGTCCAAATCCTGTAACAGCAAAATTGACCATTTCTTAGACTGAGCCGTTGAATCTTAAAGATGATTAAAGATATCTTACTGGAATTCTCTGGGATGTTTATTGAGTTCTAGTTTGAGCAATAAGAATGTATAATTATCCTCCAACCATAAAAGAAGAATCGTGATGAAATATATCATAAATGAATATGACATGTTCATCATTAAATTAATCATATCTAAGGATAGGAAGCACATGAAATATTGAAATAAATTTCAAATATATCTATATACATTTTTAAATATCTATATCTATCTTTATATATATATATATATATATATATATATATATATATATATATATATATATATATATATATATATGTACACTAATAAACTTATAAATGTAAACAGCTATACTCGTCCGGCAAAACCTTAGGTGTTTTAGCTTGTAAATGAACAAACTAATACTCAAGGAGAAAAAAAGGTAAAAAAAGAAAGAACTAAGAACATGTACTTCCAGCGAAAATAATCTTCTAAAATCTAAGTTCAGTGTCCAAAGAAAAAACCCTCCGATACGAGTAAAGTAAAATAACTAAGCAAAGTGCTCAATACACTAAGTAGAGCAAAATAAGTAAACCTAAAGAGCCAGACGAACCTACCTAAGTATCACCTAAGCGGATCTTTAGGGCGGACTGGCGATCCGCGTAGGTGTAACCTAGTTAGGTTAGTCTGGCTCTTTAGGTTTATTTACTTATCTATCTAGCTATATAATTAACATTAGTTAATTTGGTTGGTTGTGTTTAACGACATATCAACATCTATATGGGTTATTTAATGCCGAAATCTAAATATTTTGAACTCAGTTTTATGGCTTCAGCTAAATATATTGTGAACGCAATATTATACATTTAATTTTAGATAAAATGTATTGTTAGTCATTTTGCTTTAAAATTCTATTGTTGGTAATTTCTCTATAAATAGGTATCCTTGATACTTTTACAGTAATTATGTATTGTTAGTAAGTTTACTATAAAAATATAATGTTGGTAAATTTATTATAAATAGGTATTGGTGATAATTTTACTACAAAATACGTATTGTTTGTAATTTTACCATAAAAATGTAATGTTGCCACCTCTTACTCTAAATAAGTATTGTTGGTAATTTTACTATAAAATGTATTGTTGGTAATTTTAATATGAATACGTATTGTTTTAATTTTACTATGAAAATGTATTTAATACTTTCACAATGTTTTGTTCAAGTCTGGGTTGGAGTCACATTTTGCCCATAGACGGGACCCCAACAGGTGCTACCACCCCGCGTTAGGATGGACCTGGGAACGACAGCAGCTGAGTGGTAGTTCCTTACTCCTGAAAACCCCCAATCTCCTGATCAGAGGCCTTGTTACCGGTTGTAGTTGATCGACATACCCAGGGTTGAGAAGGCTCCGGGACCCCTGACCGGAACATATCATGTTCTTAAAAAGCAAAGATATCGAGAATTGAAAAGCCTTTGGTCAATTTCGGAGCCCTGAAGTACGGAGAACGAGGTTGCATATCGCGTTTGGAATTCAGCAAATGAGATCCCAAGTTCTACGTACATTTCACCCTCTAAAAACTCGCGCCCCTTGATAACAACTCTCAGATTTGGTTGATAGAACTATCTCATGGGAATGCAATTGCAGAAAGTAGATGTCACGTAATTTACACCATTTGGTGTAGAACAGATTTGACAAGTAGTAAACAGAACACATGGGAAAGACATTTTATTCTCTTCATAGAATAACGTCTTATATACAAGTACGTGGAAAAAAAATGGATGCATCCAGAGAAAATCGATTTTTGTATTTTTACCAAGACAAGTGAGTAATAGAATTCGTTTATTAATACAAGGTATTAATACAGGTGTATATATGTACATTATACAAGTCAAAAAAGGATTTAGTAACGAAAACGATACTGCCTGAAAGAATAAAAGTCATCTATAGACAAACAAATACAGAAATATAGGTGCGTTTGTAGAAAATAAGGGTGATTTTTAGGGGTCTGGAACGGAGAGGAAATGTTCCCATTAATTTCAATGGGGGTAAACTGATTTGAGATACGAGTCTTTTGAGTTACGAGATCGGTCTTGGAACGAATTAAACTCTTACCTCAAGGCATTATATATATATATATATATATATATATATATATATATATATATATATATATATATATATATAAAGAAATATAGCCTTAAGGCGTGCTATATTTATGGAATAAAGTGCTCATAGATAGAGCGTGTGTAAATATAAAAGTGAACATAGAAGTCAACACTTAGAGGCGACAGTCTGTTTCATGCTATATGCAATCGTCAGGCCACATGTGTTGTTATTTTTCTCGGCTATTTATATATATGCGGGTTAGTGGTACATTGTGGGTATTCTATTATGGCGGTTATTTTACTGGAAGTCGTTTGTTTATTTATTTGGGTCAAATTATATTGCTTGTTTTTATTTTATTTTTTTGTTTCTTATTTTATTTATTTATTTATTTATTAACGTAGTAAAAATTTGTTTATATCACGTATTTAACAGTTTTGTTTTGGTTTGATAATTTAATTAAAGCTATTTGTTCAATTTTTGGGGTTGATTTTTGTAGTTTATTCTAACTATTATTTTATGGGAATGTTTTAATTGATTATCTTTATTTGGGATTGGTTTGTTTATCTATTTACTTGGATGAATTTAGTTCAATTTAGGTCTACAACAATTTTGGGGGTTGATTGTTGTAGACCTAAATTGACCTAAATTCATCCAAGTAAATAAATAAATAAACCAATCCCAAATAAAGATAATCAATATATATAAATAGCCGAGAAAAATAACAGCACATGTGGCCTGACGATTTCATATAGCATGAAACAGACTGTCGCCTCTAAGTGTTGACTTCTATGTTCACTTTTATATATATATATATATATATATATATATATATATATATATATATATATATGTGTGTAGCCATTTTCTTTCAACACTTCTGGTGTCTTATCAAGTGATAGTGCCGAATGTAGAATAAAGGGTTTTAAAATCAATAAAAAAAACAGGTTTTATTCTACATTCAACACCATCACTAGATGAGAAACCAAAAGTGTTGAAACAAAAAAAGCTATTTTTATAGTGATTTTATAAAATATTTATGTTATAATTTTCGAATAAATAATTATATTTGTTCTACTCTGTATTCAGCACTCTTTTAAGAATTGGATTTGGTGGTTATTGGAATTTATTCCATACACACCAATCCTAAACTTAGGTATATATATATATATATATATATATATATATATATATATATATATATATATATATATATATATTAAAATAAAAGAGAAATCCAAAATTACCTCATGAGAATAGACTATTTCAACTAGGATCAATTTCCTAGCATTTTCCAACTTTTTTTATCGAAACATTTTAGTGAATTGACGCTAGTTGAAATAATCTATTCTCATGAGGTAATTTTGTATTTCTATTATTTAATATATATATATATATATATATATATATATATATATATATATATATATATATATATATTATTATATTTATATGCTCTGTTATAATGAATAGATTGAGCTCTATTTGTGGATCAGTTTTAACATTTTATATTATTAAGATCCACTTGGATTATATCCCAACGGAAATATTACCTACACACAAACACACACACACACACACCTCTCTCTCTCTCTCACACACACACACACACACACACACACACACACACACACACACACACACACACACACACACACACACACACACACATATATATATATATATATATATATATATATATATATATATATATTGTTTCCATATTGCTATAAATGTTGTTTTTAGTAGTATTTAGTACTCACTAAAATTAACATTTATAGCAATAAAGAAATACTCGCGGATAAAGCCTCCGATCAAAAATGAATGTTTCGTGTACGAAACTGAAGCTGGCCGATATAGATTCGTTGTAGTTCGAACGAACGAAATTCTCAATTGCTTAAATTCGAAAATAAAACTTTGTCCTATCAACGCGGCCTCTGTGGCCGAATTTGGTAAATGCAGGTTTCGGTTTGAGAAATAGTTTCCTCGATTAAAAAAATGGGGTAACAGGTTCAATTCTTTTCGGATGCACAATATTTGTTTAGTAGAAGTCCTCAATTTACGCCTGTTATTATTAATTTAACCGGTTAAGAAAAATTTTAAAAAAAACAAAAAAAAACAAGCAAGGTAGGCAATTCAAGTTTTTTTTAACGGAATTTTGTCTGGATTAAGAATAAACAGAAAGAAAGAAAGAAAGAAAGAAAGAAAGAAAGAAAGAAAGAAACAAAGAATATCGCTGACGTCACAGAAGAAAATGATGATGAAGAAATACAACGAAGGAAAAAAGAGATACAAAAAGAAGCCTGAAGGAAAAGAGATAATAAGAAGAAAAATAAAAAAAAGGTGATGAGAAAAAGAAGAAACAAGAGGAGAAAAAAATGAAGAGGAATGAGAAGAAGAAGAAGAAGAAGAAGAAGGAGAAAAAGAAAGAGATACAACAGAAAAATAGAAGAAGAAACATGAGGAAGATATATGAAAAAGAACAAATTAAAAGTAAAATAACAAAGAGGAAGAAGGAAAGATGTTTCTTTTAATAAAGAAGAAGAGGATGAAGGAAACAAGAATAACGAGATCAAGGAAGAAGAATTTTAAATAATAAAAATGATAACGGAGGGACAAGATGTGAAATGACGTTTTAGAAGAAGAAAAAAACGAACAACAAATGCAAAAAGAGTGACGTAAAAATCCAAGAAGGAATCAAAAGAAAAAGAAAACGATAGATGAAAAACGAAAGAAAAAAAGATTCACAGAGAAGAAGAAGAAGAAGAAGAAGAAGAAGAAGAAGAAGAAGAAATAAGAATCACAAGGAAAATATCCAAATAAAAATAAGACACCGGAAGTTGATTAAACAGGAAGAATAACCGAGAAAAAAGTATTATAAAGAAAGAGTAAAAAAAAAAGAATTTGTTTGAAAAATAAGAAAATTGATAAACAAGAAGAAAATCGAAGAAGGAAAAAGAAGACGAAGAATCACAAAAATGAAATATAAAAAGAACGAAGAAGAAGCAAAAGACGAAGAAAGAACAGAAAAAAAGAAAAAATATTAAAACGAAAGAAGAGAGCGAAACACGAATAAACAAGAAATACGAAAGAAAAAAAAAACAAACCGGAATATGAAAGAAAAATAAAAAGTATAAGAAAAAAAGAGAAGAAAAAAAACACAGAGAATAAGATAGAAGAAATTAAAAAACAAAAAAAGAATTTTAAAAAGACAAAGAAGAAATTAATAAAATGAAAGAAAGGAAAAAAAGGAAACATAAAGAGCCCCCCAAAAAATAAAAGAAAAAAAGTGAAACAAGGCAAAACGCAAGAAAGAATTTTAAAATTCCACACGAGGAAGAAGAAAAGAACAAAAAACGAAGAAGTATATGCATATGACGAGAAGAAATCTGAATAAGAAAAGAAAGAAAGAAAAACAAGATTAAGTAGGAAATTAAGACGAATCATGAGTAAGAAAAAAAAGAAAAAAACACCAAGAAGAAACAGACAAAAGAAAAAAAGAAGGAAGGAATCTTAGAAGAAGAAAAAAAAACATGAAGAATAAAAAAAGCAGAAGGAAAAGAAAATGGATAATGGAAAAACTGAAGTAGAAGAAAAAAATAAAAAAAATATGAACAAAACGAAACTGGAAATCTAATTTTAAAAAAAATTTTTGAAAAAAAATGTAATTTTTTTCAAAAGATAAAAAGACAATCAAGCAATCCGAATAATGAGAAGGTAGAATGAGAGTAAAGAATCATTAAACACGAAAAGAGACCAGATAACGAGAAGAAAATAACAAAAACAACAAGAAATGGGAGAAAAAAGTAAACGAGGAATTAATAAGGAACTGGCAAAAGAAGGACGATGAAAAAGAAACATGAAATTGTAAAGAAAAAAATGAAAGAAATGATGAAAGAGAAAAAAGCGAAGAAAATCAAAGAACACGAAAAGGAGATATAAGGAGATATATGAAAATGAGAGAAAAATTGGAGGCGAAAAAGAAACCAGAAGAAAAAAATGAAGAAGAGTAAGAAGAAATATAAAGAAGGAAAGGAAACCAGAAAAGCGAAGGAAAGTAGAAAGAGAGAAGAAGGGAAGATGAAAGAAGAATCATAGAGAAATCCCAATTCTTAAAAGAAAACTGAAGAATAATTAGGAAGAAGAAATAAATCAAATTTAGAAGAAGAAGAAGAAGGGAGGTGGGAAGAGAAGAAGAAGAAGAAGAAGAAGAAGAAGAAGAAGAAGAAGAAGAAGGAAAGTGGGAGGAAGAGAAGAAGAAGTGAGGCGGGAAGAGAACAAGAAGAAGAAGAAGAAGAAGAAGAAGGAGGAAAGTGGGAGGAAAAGAAGAAGTGAGGCGGTAAGAGAAGAAGAAGAAGAAGAAGAAGAAGAAGAAGTGAGGCGGGAAGAGAACAAGAAAAAGAAGAAGAAGAAGAAGAAGAAGAAGAAGAAGGGAGGAAAAGAGAAGAAGAAGTGAGGCGGGAAGAGAACAAGAAGAAGAAGAAGAAGAAGAAGGGAAGAGAACAAGAAGAAGAAGAAGAAGAAGAAGAAGGAAGAAGAAGAGAACAAGAAGAAGAAGAAAAAAAAGAAGAAGAAAAAAGGAAGTGGAGGAAAAAGAGGAAGAAGAGGAAGGAAGAGAACAATGATGATGATGAAGAAGAAGAAAGGAAAAATGATGAAGGAGGAGGAGAAGTTTATGATGAAGAAGAAGAAGAAGAAAAAAAATAAAATGATGATGATGATGAAGAAGAAGAAGAAGAACAAAAAAGATGGTGAATAGAGAAGAAGAAGAAGAACAAGAAGAAGAAGAAAATGGGAAGTGGAGGTGAAGAAGAAGAAGAAGAAAAAAGAGATGAAGGAAAAAGAAAAAGAAGAAGAAAAAGAAAAGAAGTGGCAGGGAAGAAGAAAAGAAGGGACGATCAAGAAAAGAAAAACAAAAGAAAAATCAAGAAGAAAAAGAAGAAAAGAAGAAGAAAAGAAGAAGAAGAAGAAGAAAAAGAAGAAGAAGAAGAAGAAGAAGAAGAACAAGAAGAAGAAGAAAACAAGAAGTCAGGCGGTAAAAGAACAAAAGAACAAGAACAAGAAGAAGAAGAAAAGGGAAGAAAGAGGAAAAGAAGAAGAAGTGAGAAGGAAGAGAAAAAGAAAAAAGAAGAAAAGAAAAACTCATAAAAGAAAAGAAGAAGGTTAGGTAGGAAGAGAAGAAGAAAAAGAAAAAGTCAATAAAAGAAAAGAATAAGAAAATAAGGCGGTAAGAGAACAAGAAAAAGAAAAAGAAGAATAAAAAACATAAGAGAAGAAAAATGAAAAACAACAAGAAGAAAAAACAGGGAAAGGAGGAAAAGAAGAAGAAAAGGCGGGAAGAGAACAAAAAAGAAGAAAAAGAAGAAGAAGAAGAAAAGGAAAGAAGAAAAGAAGAAGTAAAGGAAAAAGAGAAGAAGAAGAAGAAGAAGTAGAAAAGGGAAGAGAAAAGAAGAAGAAGAAAGAGGCGAAAAAAAAAAAGAATCAAGAAGAAGAAGAAACCCGATGAAGGAAAAGAACAAGAAGAAAAAGAAGAAGAAATGAAGAAGAAAAAAGGGAAGTGGAGGAAAAGAAGAAGAAGACGAGGAAGAAGAGAACAAGAAAAGAAAAGAAGAAGAAGAAGGGAAGTGGTACAAGAGAAGAAGATGAGGAAGGAAGAGAAGAAGAAGAAGAAGAAGTGAGGCGGAAGAAACAAGAAGAAGAAAAGGAGGCGGTAAGAAAAACTCAAGAAGAAAACAAGAATGTGAGAAGAAAAGAAGAACGATCAAGAAAAGAAGAAAAAGAAAGAATTAAAAAGAACAAAAAAGAAGAAGAAGAAGAAGAAGAAAAAGTTAGAAGAAAGAAGAAGAAAGGCGGGAAAGAAGAAGAAAAGATCAAGAAAAGAAAATATCAAGAAGAAGAAGAAAAGAAGAAGGTAAAAAGAAAACAAGAAGAAAAACAAGAAGAAGAAAAAAGGGAAGTGGAAGAAAAAACGAAGAAGAAAGGAAATAAAAAAAGGAAGAAGAAGAAAAAAAAGAAGAAGAAGAAGAAGATGAAACGGTAGGAAGAGAAAAAGTGTGGCGGAAGAAGAAGAAGGAGAAATAAAAGAAGAAGAAGAAGAAGAAGAAGGGAAGAGGAGGACAAAGAAAGAAGAACAACCTGAAGTGTTAGAAGAAGAAAACTCAGAAGAAGAAAAAGAAGAAGAAGAATGGAGTAGGAAAGAAAAGAAAATGAAGAAGGTCAAGGAGGAAAAAAAGGAAAAAGATGAAGAGAAGAAGAAGGAAAAAGGAGGCAAAAGAAGAAGATGAAGAGAAGATGAGGCGGGAAGACGAGGAGAAAGAAGGAGAAGAAAAAGAAAAAAAAAAGAATTGGTGAAGGAAAAAAATAAACCTGAACGTAGAAGCAAAAATCTCATTTAATGCCATGTTCCTTCGAGGCGTAGGCGAAGAAGCCTTCCAAGTATCAAGTTAGAGATAGAAAAAAATAAAGATTTTAAGAAGAAAAAAAAACCTGTTCCGCAAAAACCTCAATACCATTAATTATGTCACTAGGAGAGGTAAAAGAACCCTCTTCCTCTATTTGTCCCAGAAATCAGATTTTCCAAGAAATCTTCAAGTTACGTGCCCTAGAAAAAGAAAGTCTCAAGAAGATGTTAGGGTAAAGAAACCTGATAAAATTTTCCAAAAAACTCATAGAATTCAGAGGTTCGGTCCATGAAGGAGAGGTAAAAGTAGAAATTTCAAAAGAAGGATTTCCTGATGTTAGATAAAAAGAAAGAATTTCCAAAGAGAAGGAAAAAAGAAAGAATGCTCGGCCCAAGTTCCGAAAAAAGAAAAGAAAAAAATTATAGAAAAATATTTTAGAAGGCAAAAGCAAAACATGAACGAGGGAAATGACGAAAAAGAAGCAAGAAAGGAAGAATCAAGAAGAAAAAACGAAAAGCTGATAAAAGAAAAACATCAAGAACAAGAAAAAGGAGAGGTAAAAGAAAAGAAAAGAAGAAACAAAGAGAAGGAAAAAAGAAAGAATCAGGAAGAAAAATACAAGGAAGAAGAAACCAAAAGTAGATGAAACACAAAAAAAGATTAAAATAAATAACTAGAAACTCGTAGAAGAAGCATCGAAAAACTTCAAGAAGAACGGTGAAGAAGAAAAAACAGGAAGGAAAAAATGAAAAACAATAAAATATTTGAGGAAGAGGAAAAAGAAGAAGAAAAGAAATATCAAGAAAAGAAAGAAAAAAAAAAAATCAAGAAGAAAAAAAAACAGAAAAAGAAAAAGCAAGAAGAAAAGGAAGAAAAAGGAAAAAAAATGAAAAAAAAAATCAATAAGAAAAACTTGAGTAATAAGATACAAGAATTAGAAAAAACCTGAAGAAGGAAAAACACGTAGAAGAAGAAGAAGAAGAAGAAGAAGAAGAAGAAGAAGAAGAAGGCGGAGGAGGAGGAGGAGGAGGTGGAGGAGGAGGTGGAGGAGGAAGAATCAAGAAGAAGAAACAAGGGGAAGAAGAAGAATCTAGAAGAAATAAATACGCAAAAAAACTCGTAGAAGAAACTCACAGAAATTGAAAACAGGTAGAAGATGAAGGAGAAGAATATGATGATGATGATGATGATAATGACGAAGAAGGAAAAATGATGAAGGAGGAGGAGAAGTTTATGATGAAGAAGAAGAAGAAGAAAAAAAATAAAATGATGATGATGATGAAGAAGAAGAAGAAGAACAAAAAAGAATGAATAAGAAGAAAAAAGAACCTGATAAAAATAAAACTCTAGAACAATGGTGATGAAGAAGAAGAAGAAGAAATCTGATGAAGGAAAAAGAAAAAGTACAGAAGAAAAAGTAGAAAGAGTGGCAGAAGAAGAAAATAAGGGACGATCAAGAAAGTATAAAACAAAAGAAGAATCAAGAAGAAAAAGAAGAAAAAGAAGAAGAAAAAGAAGAAGAAGAAGAAAAAGAAGAAGAAGAAGAAGAAGAAGAACCTGTTGAAGGATAAAACAAAAACTCATAGGTGAAAAGATGAAAGAGAGGTATAATAAGAAGAAATGGCACGAGCATGAAAGAGAAAAAAGAAAGAATCATGAAGAAGGAGGAGAAAAAAAAGAAACCTGATGAAAGAAAAAACTCATAAAAGAAAAGGTAGAAGGTTAGGTAGAAGACAAAGAAAAAAGAAAAATCAATAAGAAAAGAATATAAAAATAATATATATAAAAAGGAAGAAAAAAGAAAAATAAGTAGAATAAAAACATACCTGATGAAGGAAAAAAAAAAAGAATCAAGTAAATAAAAAGAAACCTGAGAAAAGAAAACTCAGAAGAAGAAAAGAAACGAGAACAAAGAAGAAGAAAAAGGAGAAGAAGAAGAAGAAAAAGGAAAAAAAGAAAAAGAACTGATAAAGGAAAAATTCATAGAGGAAAAAGTAGGAGAGCTAGAAAAAGAATAAGAAAATTAATGAACAAGAAAGAGAAGAAGAAAAAAAAAAGAATCAAGAAGAAAAAGAAACCCGATGAAGGAAAAACTAATAGATAAAAAGCTAGAGGAAATGTCGAAGAAAAAGGAAAGGAACGTTCAAGAAAAAGAAGACGAAGAAGAACTGATGAAGGAAAAAAGAAAAACACAGAGAAGAAAAAGTACAATGTGAGGTAGATGAAGAAGAAAAAGAAGAATCACGAAAGAGAAGGACACTTTAAGAAGAGGGAAAAGAAAAATTGATGAATGAAAAACTCATAGAAGAAATGTAGAAGGAGAGAAAAAAGAACGAAAAGAAAGAGAAAAAAAGAAAGAAAAAAGAAAAGAATCAAGAAGAAAAAAAAACCTGAAGAAAAAGAAAAACTCTTAGAAGAAATAGTAGAAAGAGAGGGAGAAGAAGAAATAGAAAGATCAAGAAAGAAAATATCAAGGGAAGAATAATAAAGAAGAAGAAAAAGAAAAAAACGAAAAAACTCATAGAACAAAAGGTAGAAGGAAGGTAAAAGAAGAAGAAAAGAAGGATCAAGAAAGGAAATAAAAAAAGGAAGAAGAAGAAGAAAAAATGAAGAAAAGAAGAAGATGAAACGTAATGAAGGAAAAACTCACAGAAGAAAAGATAGAAGGAGAAATAAAATGATAAGAGGAAGGATCAAGAAAGAGAGAGAACAAAGAAAGAATCAAGAAGTAAAGGAAAACTAATGAAGAGAAAAAAACTCATAAAAGAAAAGGTAGGAGAACAAAAAAGGAGGGTAAAAGAAGAAAAAAAAAGAAAAGAAAGAGAATCAAAAAGAAAAATCAAGAAAAAAAGAAAACTGATGAAAGAAAAAACTCATAGAAAAAAGGTAGAAGGAGGTAAAAACAAGAAGAAAAGAAGGAAAAGAAAAAGAAGAAAAAGAAAGAATCAAGAAGAAAAAAATAAACCTGATAAAAGAAAAACTCATAGAACAATAGGTAGAAGGAGAGGTAAAAGAAGAAGAAAAAGAAAGAATCAAGAAAGAGAAGGAAAAAAGAAAGAATCAAGAAGAAGAAAAAGAAACCTGATAAAAGAAAAACTCATAGAACAATAGGTAGAAGGAGAGGTAAAAGAAGAAGAAAAAGAAGGATCAAGAAAGAGAAGAAAAAAGAAAGAATCAAGAAGAAAAAGAAACCTGATAAAAGAAAAACTCATAGAACAATAGGTAGAAGGAGAGGTAAAAGAAGAAGAAAAAGAAGGATCAAGAAAGAGAAGAAAAAAGAAAGAATCAAGAAGAAGAAAAAGAAACCTGATAAAAGAAAAAAACTTATAGAACAATAGGTAGAAGGAGAGGTAAAAGAAGAAGAAAAAGAAGGATCAAGAAAGAGAAGAAAAAAGAAAGAATCAAGAAAGAGAAGAAAAAAGAAAGAATCAAGAAGAAGAAAAATAAACCTGATAAAAGAAAAACTTATAGAACAATAGGTAGAAGGAGAGGTAAAAGAAGAAGAAAAAGAAGGATCAAGAAAGAGAAGAAAAAAGAAAGAATCAAGAAGAAAAATAAACCTGATAAAAGAAAAACTCATAGAACAATAGGTAGAAGGAGAGGTAAAAGAAGAAGAAAAAGAAGGATCAAGAAAGAGAAGAAAAAAGAAAGAATCAAGAAGAAAAAGAAACCTGATAAAAGAAAAACTCATAGAACAATAGGTAGAAGGAGAGGTAAAAGAAGAAGAAAAGGAAGAATCAAGAAAGAAAAGAAAAAGGAAGACTCAAGAAGATAATCAAGAAGAAGCACTTGGTTCAACTTGCAAAGTTCTAGATTGCTTGTTCTTAAAGCTCGAGAAATCTTTCCCGCGATACACCGTCGATTATTTGAGATTTACGCACACAATAAGCAGATACGGAATCAGCGATATTGCGGCAATCGAGTTAAAGTGATTAGAAAAAACAGACTTGGAATAACGGTTCATCTCACAGACATCTATCCAATCCATCCATCCATTCATCTCTCCTTCCACCGTCTTATTTTACATTCAGTATTTTACTTTTTCCCCATTTTTGACCACATTTGCTTGGCTTCCGAGCAGGGATTTACGAGTAATTCATTTATAATTCGTATTTAATGGCAACTTTATCGAAATCGCTTTTTCTTACATTTTGCCTTCGTTCTCTCTACCCCTTCTCTCTCTCCCTCTATCCCCCCCTCCCTTCCTCTCTCTCTCTCTCTTTACTTCCGGTTTTGTATTTCGTCTGGGCCTCGGCTAGTAATCCTATGATTTCTCGTACGCCTACTAGTGCGTTGCTTGTATGCTAACGACTTTTCACTCAGTCGCATCTATATACTTAGAAATCTACCTGTGAGAGCTATACAGTCTTCTTTCATCTCAAAGGGAAGTCATGACTTTTATTGTCTCAGATGTGGTGAGTAAAATAAAAAAAACAATAAAAAAAAATGAATTCTAATTTTTAAACAAGCAGGTGCTCACCACTAGTGCAGTTCTATACAATCTTCTTAAACTCTATTTCCACAGATTGGTCATATATATATATATATATATATATATATATATATATATATATATACACTTATAAAGTCCAGTTGCGGCTTTGGGAGAGGAGACAGGTTCCTGACTTTCTCAACGTGAAATTGAACGTAAAGAACTCAATCGGAATTCGAACTCGGACTGCCTATTTATCTTTTCGATTCGCTAACAGTTTACATTTTTATACAGTTTAAAATTCTCCGTTTTGCTTAATAATGAAAGACTTTTTCAAAAAGTTATTATGTCGGCACACATGAAATGATACACTTGATAGGAAATTAATAAAACTCTTCTGAAATGTTAAATAACTAATTTTTTCGTCAAAAAATGACGCAATTATTAATGAATTAAACGCTTCTGAAATGTTAAATAACTAATTTATTAGGTCGTCACACACGAAATGACGCACTTTATAGATAATGAATTAAACGCTTCTGAAATGTTAAATAACTAATTTATTAGGTCGTCACACACGAAATGACGCACTTTATAGATAATGAATTAAACGCTTCTGAAATGTTAAATAACTAATTTATTAGGTCGTCACACGAAATGACGCACTTTATAGATAATGAATTAAACGCTTCTGAAATGTTAAATAACTAATTTATTATTTGACGCACTTTATAGATAATGAATTAAACGTCTGAAATGTTAAATAACTAATTTATTAGGTCGTCAAAAATGACGCACTTTATAGATAATGAATTAAACGCTTCTGAAATGTTAAATAACTAATTTATTAGGTCGTCACACACGAAATGACGCACTTTATAGATAATGAATTAAACGCTTCTGAAATGGTAAATAACTAATTTATTAGGTCGTCACACCTGAAATGACGCAATGAAAGAGAACAATAAAAATACAGGAATTAAGAAAATAGAATATTACATTCTACACTATTTACGTTGTTTCGACTGTTGTGCTCAAATTTATTGCCATATTCACGACGTTTGAAGAAGGCCGGAGCGTACAACGGCCGAAAAACCGTAAATATAGCAATAAGGATGAGGACAACAGTTCGAGCAATGTAAATAGTGTAAATAGTTACAATACTTCATTTCAGAAATATAAACAGAATTTTACTGGATTTAAATTTTTCAAGATCAAAGTTGACTAGAAAGTAAGAAGTCAGAAGAGAATTCCACAAGCGAGAAGTGCGACAGAAGAAACTCTTAGCATAGAATTACGGTTACATCTAGCCATTTCAACTTTAAATGATGAGACCGTGCTGCCAATCTAATACTGTAGTTAAATTTATAAAGTCTCGGTACCATAGAGGAAATTTCACCAGAACAGTTACCATGAAGATATTTATAGAAAAGGCAGAGAGATGCTAGGTTTGAGTCAATAACATTGCAGATTCTTCTTTGGATTTTATCCAGAATCTATAAATATATAACAGAAGCACCAGACTAGATGTGGCATTAATATTCAAAGCAATGTCGAATGGTAGACTTATAAATATGAAAGATAGATTCTGACGCCAAAAAATGTCTAGTACGACACAGGAAACCAAATTTCTGACAGAAGACTTAATTGATCCAATATAATCTTTCGATTTCATGCAGAAAACGTTAATCCGAGAAGTTAGTCAATCAGTTTAGTGTCTCTTTCGATTCACGACTGACAAGGCAGAAGATTTTTTACGCAGTAGGTTGTTATTTCTTTCTGCGGTAGACTGGTAGGCAATCAAGACTATAGGACACAGTCTTTCCTTCTGTTCAAGCCATAACCGGCAGCGGGAGACAAAAGAGATGGTATTTGCCCGTGACATCAAGGAAAATCGATAAGGTTGTCTACGTGGAAAGCGTTGTCAGTAAAGATGTGTGGAGAGCAGATGATGACATCAAGTACCGAATCAACAAAGCCTGACACGCTTTTAACACTCTGCGTCCAATTTGGAGATCAACAGCTCTCTCACTTTACAACAAGATCCGATCATTCAAACCCATCGTCAAGTTGGTCCTACTTTACGGCTCAGAAACATGGCGGGTAACGAAGACCAACATCCACAGACTTCAGACATTTACCAACCGATGTCTTAGGAACATCCTCAATATCAGGTGGCCAGAAGTCGTCTCCAACGATCAACTGTACGACAGAACGAGACAAGCCCCAATCGCGATTGACATCAAGAAAGGGAAATAGGGATGGATCGGCCACACACTCTGCATGACTGCTTCTAGTGTCAGCAGGCAGGCCCTTGACTGGAATCCACAAGGGAAGTCGACTCCAACAACCAACTATGGGTCAGGTCCAGATAAGCCCCAATCGCGATTGACATCAAGGAACGGAAATAGGGATGGATCGTCCACACACTCTGCATGACTGCTTCTAGTGTCAGCAGGCAGGCCCTTGACTGGAATCCACAAGGGAAGTCGACTCCAACGACCAACTATGGGACAGGTCCAGATAAGCCACAATCGCTATTGACATCAAGAAACGGAAATAGAGATGGATCATCCACACACTCTGCATGACTGCTTCTAGTGTCAGCAGGCAGGCCCTGACTGGAATCCACAAGGGAAGTCGACCCAGCAGGCCAGATAAGCCCTCGCTATTGACATCAAGAAACGGAAATAGAGATGGATCATCCACAAGGCATGACTGCTTTTAGTGTCGACTGGAATCCACAAGGGAAGTCGACTCCAAGGACCAACTGTGGGACAGGTCCAGATAAGCCCCAATCGCGATTGACATCAAGAAACGGAAATAGAGATAGATCGGCCACACACACTGCATGACTGCTTCCAGTGTCAGCAGGTAGGCCCTTGACTGGAATCCACAAGGAAAGCGAAAAGTGGGTTGACTAAAACAGACTTGGCGCAGAAGTGTTGCCGCAGAGGTGAAGGCAGCCGGCATGACATGGGCCGAGCTGAAGAGGATCGCCCGGAACCACGTCCATCGGAGAGGTTTTGTTGCGGCCCTAAGTTCCCCAAGGAACCAAGAGGCATATGTAAACAAGTGAATGTTACGAACTCGTTTGGAATTCGAACTCGGGATCTACAGTTTTCTCATGCCGAGACCATATCCGTTACCCATCAAGCAACATTAGTACTGTGCTTAAATTTTATGAAGTCGTGGTACCAAAGAGGAAAGCTCATCAGAACAATTATTCCGAAGAATATCCCTGCCGTTATAGTTCAGTGATAAAAGTCGGAAAAATCTTACGTATATAATGGGTTTGGTTTGCTTTGGTTTATTTTACGGCATATCAACCTCAATGGGTTATTTAATGCCGACAAAATTTTTATTGCTGGTAATATTTTTATCTATCTGTCTGTCTGTCTGTCTGTCTGTCTGTCTATCTATCTATCTATCTATCTATCTATCTATCTATCTATCTATCTCAGTATATATTGGTTTGGTTTGTTTTGTTTTACGGCATATTAACCTCAATGGATTATTTAATACTGACAAAATTGTTATTGCTGGTAATGTTTTTCTTCAAAAATCTATTTTTGGGAATATTTTTCCTTGAAGAAATCTTTAGCTGGTCACATTTTTCCAAAGAGTGTATAGCTGTTTGTATTGCTGGTATTTTTTTAAAGTATCGCTGATAACAATTTTTCTTTCAAAAATTATTGCTTGTAATAGTTTTTTTATTAGAAAGTATTTCTGGTATTAAAACCTATTTTTACACAAGTTTGGGTGTTAACTATTTGCCCATAGCTGGGACCTTAACAGGTGCTACCACACCGGGTCAGGGTGGACCTGGGAACACCAGCAATTAAGAGGTGGTTCCATGCTCCTCAAAACCTCCTGATCAGACGCCTTGCTGTTGGATGTAGTTTATCGTCTTACCCAGGACGCGGATGTAGATTATCGTCTTACCCAGGAATAAAACGACTTCTATTAATAATGGAATTAGAAAAAAAATTCATATAGTGATTTAACTAGCTCCGCTATTGTCGTCATGGGTCACACGAGGCTAGACTTAACGTAACATGACCTGTCTCAGTATTACGTATTTCATATTGATGCCTGTTGTCGATGTTCAAGCCCAGCCAAAGGCTATGTTATGTTGTTTGTTAGGACATGTTAACTTTTTATTATTTAATGTTGAATTGTGTATCAAACAGGGAGGTTTGGACTCACTAGCCAAGAATAATAATTAACTAGACATGACTCGTTAAACATTACCCAACCCTGATGCACCCACGGATAACGTTAACCATTATCTGAAGTTGAGGCGCCAAAAGTTTGTGTAATAGTTATTCAATAAGTTCGGCACAAGGTCACATATATAGGAGCCTAGTGAAGATCGAACCTAATACTCGGTAATAATGATCAATCAAACAAACTTCACTGAACATTACCCGAGCGTTGTTAATTACTTAACTTGGCTGAGTTTAATACAAGATCACAAATAGACGGTACCCAGTGAAGATCGAAGACTTTATTAGTATTAATGGTCAACCAGAAAAGCGTCGCTATCTATTATCCGTGTCATAGGCAATCAATCAAATGCAGCGAGGTTGTTATTTACTAAACTTGGTTTAATTTGGCACAGGGTCACAAATTAAGGGCGCCTAGGGAGGATTGAAACCACAAATCATTCGTAAAAATCTATCAGAAAAGTTTCACTATCCATTATCCGTGTCTTAGGCAATCAAATGCAGCGAGGTTGTTATTTACTAAGCTTCGTTTAGTTTGACACAAGGTCACAAATAAAGGGTGCTCGGTGAGGATCAAAATCACAAATTTGTAGTAATGATCAACCAGAAAAGCCTCGCTATCAATTATCTGAGCCTGAGGCAATCAAATACAGCGAGGTTGTCCTTTA